AGGGAGGGCCCAAAATCGGTCAAAATTGAAGACAAATATTGGATGGTTTCACTAATCTTTAGAATGTAAATACAAAACAAAACAAAACAAAACAAAAACAAAAACAAAAACCACAAAACATTTATACACAAAAAGAAGAAATAAAATTTGAACTCGGCAAAAAGAAAATAATGGTTATCAGAGGAAATAGGTAAATGGGTTGGAGGGCTGGGGAGAGAGGCAGATGGAATATGGGCACAGTTGGTTTAGTGAAGAGAAAAAAAATTTAACTTATTAAATGATTATATATTTATTACCTTAGCTGAGGAAGGCTTTCTAAAATAAAAGCAGCGCTTATAATCTGGGATACAGGACATAATAGAGAAATTTAATCATAACTATAATACACAGATTTGGTTGCTAAATTTTTAAAAAGAAGACAAACAAGCCCTTTTACATTGAAGTTTAGGCATGGTTTTATAGTGAGGTTGAAAGCCATGATGAGCCAAAGAGTAGCTCAAGTTGTCAGAAAATGAACACCATGGATAAGCAGTTCTATAGAAACAGACAAATATCTTACACAACTTATTGGTGTAAGTTCTTCAGATACAAGAAACATGTTATGGCCAGTTGAAAGACACAATTAGTTTATCAGAAAGATAGAAAATGTTCACAAAATGGAGACTGGAGAATCAAGTACAGAAAAGGAAGGGACACAAGGAAGCTGTGGTGGTATAGCTGTTGTATAGCAAGAGCTAACAGTCTCGCCAAGGTTGTTTTTACTGCTTATAGGAATGAGACCCAGGCTATATTTTCTCTTCTTCACACCACTCAGCTAGAGTCATCATCTGGAGTGTTGGTGATGTTATACCAAGAGTCCAGTGGCCTGGTTGAGGTCATATGCCCACTCAGCTCTGAAGAGCGTGCACAACAACTTAATTATCAGCCTCAAGAAGTCCACCCATTATGCAGAGAAGGCACCACCACCTACACCAGCAACAAATAACTTTTAGAGGGTCAAGGCTTGTATTGGAAGATAAAAGAGAAAGGCCAGTAAGTGGATAATAACATTAATGAACAAAGGCCTTCAAGCTGCTAGATACATTGCATATAGAAACACCTCCTGGATTTGTTTCATTATTTTTTCAGGCATTGTGCTATTGTCAACAAAAGTGTGTCTCTTCAATTCCTTGTGGCTAAAAGGGAAATAGAAATTTGATGTTATGTCTTAAGAGCTGGGTGCTCTTAGGTAGTAAATGTTTGTCTTCTTTGACCTCAGTTTTTCACAATTGTAAAATTAAGGGATGCATTTATTAAATTGCCCACACTCCAACCTCCGTAAAATCGGTGCTCATCTTCCCTTTCTGTCCTGCTCTACATGTTGACTATAAAGTCAGTAAAGGAGTTGCCAAATTTCAGAGGGAAAATTTTAGAGTTTTTTGTTATTGTTGTTGTTTGTTTTCATGTGTGTTTGCAAAGCTTACCAACTATGACTTGGTCAAATGCTAAATTTGTCCTACCAAATAGAAATGAAAGTCATCACATGACAGTGCTCCTCAGCCTTCTTAGGTGCTTTAGCCTGTGTACACCATGTCTGGCAGATAAATGACATTCAGGATGAATGCAAATAACCATAGAATTACCATACTACTATATTGCTATACTAGAGAAACCTTAGAATTCAAATCTCCACTGGCCACCATGGTGGAAGACACAGTCCACTGCATGCAAGGCCCACTGTGTTTTATGGTTAACAAAAGAAGTCATGTACATGTTTTACCCTGCTCTTAGTAATTGTGAAAATGTGGCAGCAGAATATTGGGATCTCTAGCTATACCTTGATTTTCTCTTGAGAGTTATGAAAGTAATCTGTGAAAGCACTAACTTAGTCATATATAGGTTCCCCTTCTGATGTTATATTTGCTTTGAGAACTAGAAGATCAGAAGATCAGACATCTCATTTATGTTTTTGAAGTTGTGTGATTGTTTAAAATAAAAGCAAAATTCTCTAAATCAATAGTTCAATGATTTCATTCAATTACTTTTTTCAAGTATTATAGTATAAGTTTTATAGCATGAGGTCAGATTTTTTTAAAGATTTATTTATTTATGCACTATAGAATTAGGGTACAGGACAGAGGTGCAGGAGTGGTGAGAGGCTTCACCAGAGACAGAGTGGGGAGCAGAACAGGCTGACTGACCGAAGTACACTGCTGAGGTGAGCAGCAGGCAGGTCAGGAGAGGTCTGCGGCGCCATGTGGTCACCTCCAGGGCAGGCGGAGATCAAACTCATGCTGAAGTGGTTTTAACTTCTTAGTGCTGTGTTTTAACCCACTGTGTCACCAGGGAGGACTAAGGTCAGATTTTAAAGATGTCAATCTTATCGTATTTCCTCACTTTAATATTGCACTGAATTATTAGGTCATTTAAACAACAAATATCTTTAGATTATAAGAATTTTGATGATATAAACAAGAGGGTGAAAATGGAAGTTATAATTAAATGCATTTCTAAATTTAGTTATAGCTAAATACTGTGACCTGTCATATATTATATAGTCAATGCATTTATGAATAAATGTTTCATAAAGTATAAATGCATCTCATTACCTCTCAGAAAACTATTGATTCAGAAAAATGAGTAATGCTGTACACTGACAGTTAATTAAGTTTAGAAAAAAATCAAAATTGACTATCAATCATTTTGGTAACTGTTATTACAATGTTCAAAGTTAACAATATACAAGAGAATGTACATACAACTTATTTTCAGTATTTATCAGATGCCAGTTCAGTTTTTCTAAAACCCTTACATTGTCTCTTCAAACTTAATGTCTAAGTGAAAGCTATGGATCAGTTATGAGAAAAGACAGTAAGCGAGGAATGATGAAGATAAAAATATGGAGATAAATCAGGGTTACTCATTACTAGATCATAGAAATTTGAATAGGATGACAATAAATTAAGAATTATATAATCCAAAATAACAAACTCATACAACTCAACAACAAAAAAAATAAGCAACACAATAAAAATGGATAAAAAAATCTCAATAAGGATTTATCCATAGAATATACACAGGTAACCCACAGACACAAGAAAAAAAGTTTCAACATCATTTATATAAAGGGAATACAAATCAAAAACACAATGTGGGCTCTCCCTGGTGGCCCAACAGGTTATAGCACAGCACTAAGAAGCGATCCCCATCCACTGCAGCACCTGTTCAATCCCCAGTCAGGGAGGTGACCCACAACAATACCACTCCTAGGAACACATCCAAAGAATATAAAACATTAACATGAGGAGACTTATATACCCCTATGGTCACAGCAGCACTATTTTCTATAGCCACAATATGGAATCAATCAAAATGCCCCTCATCAGATAAAGAAATTGTTATATACACACACTCAGTGGAATATTATTCAGCTATTAAAAATATTAAATAGTAACTTTGAGACAAAATAAATGAGTTTTATGGTTATTATGCTAAGTGAAATGAGCCAGAAAGTGAAAGATAATTACCAATGGTTTCTCTTATTTATGGAATATAAATAACCAAAGAAAATAAATTGGCAAAACAACAACAACAAAAATAACTCCTTAGACTTTGAAAAATACAGTAGTTGCCAGAGTGGATGAGAAAAGGAGGAAGGGATGGGAGGGTAACTTCATAATATATTTGTACTGGAGTTTTGGAGGAGAGTGAGTAAAACAGTTGCCATGTGAAGTTGTACTCCAAAAATTAAATAATTATTCAAATGAATAGCAGGTCAATAAAATTTTATTTTCAAAATGAAGAAACTGTGAGATCAGTGCAATATTCTATAAAATTTAATCAAAGCCAAAGAGGTTGTTTTGGAGGGGACTATATAATTACTGTTGATAATACACAAATTGTGTTAATATATAATACAATCATAACAACTTCATAACAGAAATCATACCATTTGATTTCAGAAGCAAAAGAGCATGCCATTCCATATGTAGAACATAAGGGATTATTCTGCTCTCCACTCTGTCTCTGGTGGATCCTCTCACTGCCCCCCACCCTGTACCTATGGCCTGTACCCCAGTTCTTGTATGCATAAAAAAAATTTTTTTAAAAGGGATTTTTCCAAATCTGCAATACACTGTACCATTCTTTTGGGTATGTTTGTTAATTAATTTGCAAATAACAAAAACTTAATTAAATTAATTAAATTTTGTTTATTCACCTTAGAGTCAAAATTGCTATAAAATTCTGATGACTTTAATTGAGGATCATTTGAGAAGTATAAAAAGCTGTCAAGAGAGCTTCTTCATGTCTACATTATGGTTATCTGTCCACTTAATTTTACCTATCTATTTTCCTTCCTTCCATACTGAACACTACTATATATAACACAGTGAAATAAGAAGTTGATGCCTGTCCCCAAAAAGTTCAGAAGCATCAAATTTCTAATGCATAGTTCAATGGCAAATTCTCCATTATTCTTTAAACCCTCCTTCCATATTTCAAATCCAACTTTTGTTTGAAGAGCTACTCTGATTATCACTGTAAAAAATTATGTATGTTGGAAATGAAAGGAATGAAATTTAAAAACAAGTCATATGTTATTGTACATTTTTGGAGAGAATAAATACCTCTGATATTTCTAGTGGTCCTTCCAATAGCTGAGAGCAATAATCCACTTCTTATCTCACATTACTTTACACTTTTGTGGTAAATAAAACTGATGCGCAAGAATGAGGTAATACATTTGGGATACTAGCAACAATTAGATACACACAACAGAACACACAAACTTGAATAAGCACCCATTAGAATTAGAATTAGAATTAGAATGTATGGTCTCAAAACTTCATTATTAAGGTTTTTTTTCCTACAAAAATTAAGATGTACCTTTCATCAATTCATTTCTCCAATAGAGGCAATAACCACATCATAAAGGATGACTCATGTAATGTAATAAGCCATAGAAGACAAATGCTACTTCAGTCCCTTTAGTCAATGTACCAGTCAAGTTCCTTACTTCTCTAGTTTGATATTTGTAAGTTAGGAGTGCTGAATTCAGAAGTATTTCCATGTGAAAAGTTACAGAGATTATCTCTTGCAAAAGAGCATAGGAAAGCTTTCTGAGCTTTTGATGCCTCTGTGTTTTGCTCTTGAGATGTTTGAAGGCTGATGTGATTTGCATTATTGATTAGTAAACTGGAAGCCAGAAAATTAGTAATGGAGCAGCATCTAGTGAGATTTTCTTCCAAAAACTGTTTATAGAGTTCGTCCACGTTTTTTTCCATGTAATTGTTAAGCATAGAATTTGAGAGAGGCTGCTTATGGAACAACATACTTTTTTCTCGAATTTCATCCCCATTCAAAAGCTTTGAGACAGGTAGTTTCTCTAGGAGCTCAAAGATAGAAGAACTACCCGATGGTTTATCTACTGAAACTAAAAGAGGGCCTTTAAAAGTATCATCACATACTTGTTCCACAAAACATCCTGAATCATACATGTTCCCCACATGGTTTCCTCCAATCTGTAGATCAGGATAATTCTGGAAAATACTTGTAGATGAAAAAGATCTGTACAAATCCAGTTGTATTTCATCAAGCTGTACTCTCCTTGGAATGGGCAGAGCAACAGACACGTTTCCTGGAAGGGAAGCACTTTTGCATTTTGTGATAGTCACCACATCCACAGATTTTCTTTTATTTGTACTATTTCTTTGCTGTGGTAAGCTTTTTTTCACAACCTTATCTCGATTTTCTATTTTATCAGGTGAAAGTGAATTGTCTTCTGTAACTAAAAGCTGCTTTTTCCAAGTTTCTTTGTCATCATTTGTGATCTTATTTTTAAGTGATTTGCACAATTTTGTATACTCCTTTTCTTTGTATAGGAATTCAATTAGGAAGGCTTCTCCAAGCATTTTATTAGACAAGCTTCTGAAACAGAAGACTGAAGAATACTCCTGTAATATAAAAGAACTCATTACGGCAACATATATCAAAATGCCAATAGAGATTTAACTCCTAAATGACGCTGACGTGACTTAGGAAGTATTTCTAAAAGGATTAAGGATATATATAATCAGGAGTAAAGAGTGTTTAGTTCCAGTTTTTCCACTAACTATTAAAAAGCAAGAAATTTAATATCATTCCTGAATCTCAATTGCTCCATCAATTAAATAATATTTCTCTGTCTTCTCTGCAGGGTTGTCAGAATAATATTATATGGTATACATGAAAGTATTTTTAAAAGTATAAACTTAAATTATACAATAATTAAAATGTATATATATACATATATATATATATACATTCCACTGTTATAAGTGATTTATTTCAAAATGCCTAGTGCTTTATCTTCAAATAGTTTACTTAAAATCAAGTCTATTTTGAATAAATTGGTTTTCTTTTTTTTTAAGATTTATTTATTTATGCATACAGAACTGGGGTACAGGCCAGAAGTTTGTGGGGTGAGAGGATTAACCAGAGACAGAGTGGGGAGCAGAACAGGCAGACTGACAACCTACACTGCTGAGGGGAGCAGCAGGCAGGTCAGGAGAAGTCTGCCACGCCATATGGGTCACCTCCAGGGAAGGGATCGAACTCATGCTGAAGTGGCTTTAGCTTCTTAGTGATGTGCTTTAACCTGCTGTGCCACCAGGGAGGGCCCTGAATAATTGGTTTTAACTGCCCTTTGAATTAATGTCATTTGTGTCATACATTAAAAAAAATACTGTTCCATAGAGTATGTACAAAATATAAATATTTATATATAGTATGAACACACAGGAACATCAGAAAATTTTCTGACTTAAATTATGGCTACATTCACTTACTTTTTCAATAATCTAATGGTACATAGCTTTGTTGAATTTCATACCCTTTTTGTCTTTTTCTTTGACTTCTTTCCTTCCTCCCTCCCTTCTCTCTTTCTTAACTTTCCCTCCTGACTTTCCTTTCTTTGGGATTTAAATATTATTTCTCAAAACATTTATTTCAGTCTCTTCCATGTTTCTTTAGTACAATTTTAAGACTTCCAGTTTCTACAATAAACTTTACAAGGGTGTAAAAGAAGAAAGCAGACTTGATTAAAGACTCAACTGTCCTTTTATAGGTCTGTGGTGACCAAATGTTTCCAAGAAACATACTTATTCATTTTAAAGGCTTTTGGCAAGAAAATATAAATGAATATATGAAAGAATTTAGACTTACCTTTTTTGAATGTCAGGAAATTTAAAGATTCAGTCTACTGAGAGAAAAATAGTTCAAACACAGGAAAAGTCCCTTTTGGCTTCCTTGTTTCTCAGCTTATGCTCACACTACTGAAGATAACTTTACCCACATCAAATTAACTGGTTCTGCTTTCCATTCATGCCCTGGGACTGAACCAAACTAACAGGAAAATGATGTGGACTGATCACATGTATGGTATGGTAATGATCACAGAGCAAAAAGAGGATATTGAAAGTGTTTACTCCACATGCAAATGACAATGACAGTGGGAAAATATTACCAGCAATACTTTTCTTCATTCAAGTAAATACAGAGACAATTATTTTAATTTTTCTTAAAGATTTATTTAGTTGTGCATACAGAACTGGGGTACAGGCCAGAGGCTCAAGGGCAGCGAGAGGCTTCACCAGAGACAGAGTGGGGAGCAGAACAGGCAGATGGACGAAGTACACTGCTGAGGGGAGCAGTGGGCGGGTCAGGAGAAGTCTGCCATGCCATGTGGTCACCTCCGGGGCAGGCGGGAATCAAGCTCATGCGGAAGTGGCTTTAGCTTCTCAGTGCTGTGCTTTAACCCACTGCACCACTAGGGAGGGCCTATTTTAATTTTTAAGTAGAAAAAAAGTAATATAGAAGCCAGCATATTTTGCAGCAATAAACAATTTAAAGTAACTTAAATGACTATCAATGATACAATGGCTAGATAAATTATGGTACATGGTATCATGAAATACTAAACTTAGCATTTTCAGTGATGGAGTAATAATAAGCATCTATTAAGTAATAATTGCACAACACCCATTCTAGTTCCTATGTTACACATACTACGTAATTCAAAACAGAAGCCTTTATTTCCATTTCACAGGGGAAATAAAGACAAAGCTTATATACTTGCTGAAGGTCACTGAGCTATAAATGGTGAAGCTAAGTCTTGGCATGAAGGCAGTTGGATTTAATATCCATATTTTTAATCACTACAGTATTTTGCCTCTATGTATATTGATGAAATGCAAGCTGCAGGGCACACAGGTATGTTTTTGGCAAACCCAAAAAAATCCTATGGCTCTTTTCAATTAGTGGGAAAGGTTAAAACTAGAAAATAAAGATTGGAATAACGCACTAGGAATGTACTGAAGAGGAAAAGAATTTAACACACAGTCATCTCTTTACGCAGGAGTGGGTGGGAAAGAGGAAGTGTAGGAGAAGCACATACTGTTACATCCACTATTGCACAAATTAGAAAGTTGACTCCCAGGGGGAGAGTGTGCCCTGTAAAGCACTTGGTTGAGAAGGGAGGGGGAGTGGAGAAAGGAGGGACCTTGGGCTGAGAAAAGACAATAAATATTGCTATGGTGATCACTTCCTGTCCACCCGTTTTTTTTTTTTTGTTTTTAGAAACCTAAGCAACAAAAGTTTTAATTTATCTTGGGTTTTGAATTTTGTGTTTTTGCTTTTGTTTTCTTTCTTACTCATAACTTCATGTTTTGGGCATTTTCTCCCTCCAGAGTCACAGTCTTGGTTGCTGTGGTTCAGAAGGGCGGTTTTGCCTCCAACCCCAAATAGGGAGATAGGAGACAAGGCAGCAGAACTACAGTTAATTTGCTTCTCCTGCCCCTCTTTCCCTGAGCCATGCAGATGAGGAGAGAAAAGAGTACTTAACTGGAGTTTATCATACCTGGTAGTCCAGCATCCCCAACCAGGCTGAGAGGAACTTACCGCCTATTGTTATCAGGCAGCTGTCCTTCCCGAATGGGCCCCTTTTTACCAGCCAGTCCTGAGAGCAATGGACACCATTGCTTAGCAACCATACCAGAAAAGGACAGGGACAGGCTTTGGTACTTTGTGTATTGTAACTGAGGCAGAGCAGTGGTGAGGGGCAGCTTCTGTGTTACTTCTGCAAAGTAATCTGGGAACAACAATGAGATCCCTTAAAATTTATTATACCAGTGTGTCAGGATCTAGGGAGGAGAATGACAAGAATAGAATTTCAGTGGGGAAAAAAAGACTGTAGTGAAGACATTCTAGATTCTTGTTGGTAGTTGAGGTCTTCAGGGTTGAGCTAAGCCCTTACCATTCCCCTATGCCTTTCATTCTATATGTGAACACACACACATATAGAATGAAAGGCATAGGGTGTATGTGTGTATACATGCATACATATATGCGTGTATACATATACGTATATATTTATATACATGTATATATGTAACACATGTGTGTATATTACACATACATGCGTGTATTACATATATACATATCTGTATGTATACACATGTGTGGGAATATAGATATACAAACTTGCGTATATGCGTGTATAAAAGTATATATACACGCATGTATGTATAGGTTGTGTGTGTGTATATGTATATACACACACACCATCTATACACACACGCACACATTACATCACTGCTTATTTTTGTACAGTGTATGCTTGTATGTTTTCTCCTCTCAGGTGTATTCCCTGTAAAATTCCCACCAACAATTCACCGTGCACCATCACAACAGTTCCTTGTGCTCTTCCCTTACTGTTTTGATCCCTCTGCCTCCCCCGCACCTTGGAGAATATCTGATTTATAGTTGCCTGTTAATTTTGTTTTTTTTTATTTTTTATTATTATTGTCATTTATTTCTTGATCCCTTATTTGGTTCCTTTATATTCCTCCTATAAGTATAACCATTTGATATTTTTTTCTTTTTCCTCCTACCTTACTACACAGTGCATAATCCCTTCCAGCAATATCCGTGTTGCTGTGAATGTATGCCTTTCATTTGTAAGCCGCCTACTCGTTAGGCTTTCGTGAGTGGGAGGTGCAGCAGAGAACAGAGACGGGCTAAATACCTTCACCTAGTTTGTGCTCTAAAATTTATCAAGGATTTTTCCATATCTTGAGATCAATCATCTTAAGGGCTTTCAGTATTTGGCGGGGGGGGGGGATGTTTCAAATGGAAGAGATTAAAGAAAACCTTGTTTAGGATGGGAAAGTAAAAAGCCAGTGCATAAATGACCAAAATCCTCAGAGAAAGCTGGATAATCCCCAAAAGACAAGCTATTAATTTCTAAGAAAAGAGCACATTTTCATAGATCAGACATTTGTAAGATGAACTACAATGTAGTAGTATGGGAATTTTTTTGACCAGGATGTAGGAAATATTATAAGGCAAAGCTTTCCAATAGAAATATAATTTGAGATACATATAAGATCGATTTTTATAGATTTTATGTCACACTAAATATTCCAAATGTTAACATTGTAGCATATATGCAAACGAAAAACAGAGATAGATATTTGTTTTTTCATCTTAAATCCTCAAAATCCAATAGGTATTTTGCACTAAAGCACATCTCACTTTGGACTAGCCACACTTCAAATAGATGGCCAAGAGACTTTTTCTGCGAAGATTTTTTGAAAATGAAAGCTGAAAGATTTGGAATTGATTATAAATAGTTGACAAACACTTATCACACTCCCTTCCTGTGTTAAAAATTATGACAGGTGGGCCCTCCCTGGTGGCGCAGCAGGTTAAAGCACTGCACTGAGAAGTTAAAGCCACTTCTGCATGAGTTCGATTCCCGCCTGCCCCGGAGGTGACCGCATGGCGTGGCAGACCTCTCCTGACCCGCCCGCTGCTCCCCTCAGCAGTACTTCGTAGATCTGCCTGTTCTGCTCCCCACTCTGTCTCTGGTGAA